GACTTTAATGCTTGAGATTAGAAGCATTTGCTTTAGAAATCTGCTGCTTTACTTATAAACCATTTCTGTCTCGGTGGTTTTTTATTCTTCTTCTTTTTTCTCTACTCTCTCCTTTTGCCCATCTATTCCAGGTTAGTGTCATGTTCTCCAATATTGCTAGAACTGTGGGATTTTTAACCACAATATTCCAATTTTCATAAGTAATTTGTGTTGAGAAAGAGGTGGTAGTTGGAAAAGATGGGGAAATCTTAGAATGCACAAGCTTTCGGCAAGATTGCCAAGTATGCTTTTATTTATTTAAAGAGAACAGCTAGAGCAAGAATAGAGAAATAAGATAGATTTGTAAAGCCATTCCCAGTCAATTCTTCCATAATTTTCTATTTTGTATTCAAGTTTCTGAGTGTTTTGCTGCTAAGCCAACAACATAAACAATGAATCATAGGATCATAGGTTTAAACCTGGAAGAAGCTTTGAGGAACTTGGTCATTTTTGTTAATTCCCCCTGGGAATTTGATGAGCCCAGTTATTTCTAAGTGTCTACTCCTAGCAAAGAGTTTTGTTTGGGCCGAAACCCTTGAGAATCTTTCCAACACATTTTTTTTCAAGAATTAAGGGACCTTATGCCATTTTGTGGTCAGATTTGGAGGTGAGGTCATATACATGGTGCATTTTCCAGTTTAGACTAGAAAACCAAAATAGAAATGAAATTTTGGTGCTACTTTGATAGCTTTGGGCTCCAGCTGCTTTAGGCTAATGCTTAAAATGAGAACCGTTGGCTTTAGAAGACTTACTACTTGGGTTTGATTTTTTTTTTGGGGGGGGTCAGGTTATATTATCACTTTAACCTAACACTTTTTTAGTACTATATGTCCTTTGGTTTAAACACATGCACAGGCTGATTTTTAAAGTAACAGTGGAGGTTTTCTTTATAATTTAAATAGGGACAAATGCCATGCACTAGGGCATAGATATCATTAGTTGAACCTCTTAAAAATAAAATCTGTGACAAGCCACAGTCCAGCAGCCCTGACTTACTGTTCCTCAAACATCCATATTTTGTTTCAGTGCCTGTGCACTGGCTGTCTCCCATTCCTGGAATTCCCTCCCTCCCCACCTCTTCTTCCTCCCCTCTTTGGCTTCCTTTAAGACTCAGATCAAATTCCCCTTCTTTCTGAAGGAGGATTCCCCAGCCCTTTTCCAGCTGCTTTTCTTTCCCTAATAAATTCTACTTCTGATCTTTATTTTATCTTTATCCTCTACTTTCCTTCTACCTGCTACCTTGTGCTCCTATTACTTAACCTACCCCCCCACAAAGATCCCATCCTTATCTTCTCCCCCTCTTTTCCCTTACCCTCTTGTTTCTATCTGAATTTAAAAGACTTTTATATCCCTTCAAATATGTTATTCCTTCTCTATCCCATTCCTATTAATCTAGACACCCTTCTACAACCTCCCTTATCCAATTTCCTCACTCTCTTATTTCTTTATAACTTTCTTTCTTTATATATCTCTTTAACTCAGATCTGATGTGAGTAGGGTTCCTTCTAAAAATCCCTCCCTTGTCCTCTCTCTACTCCCTATCACCTTAGCCTTTAATTTCTTTCTGAATTTAGAAGACTTTTATACCTCTCTCTCTCTCTCTCTCTCTCTCTCTCTCTCTCTCTCTCCTCTCTCTCCTTCTCTCTTTTTCTGTAAGTATATATTATATTATATCATATATATTATATACACACAAATGCATGTATATATCATTCTCTCTTTAACCCATTTCTTTTGTTTTCTGCTGTGCACTTTTTTTTCTTTTTCTCTCCCTCCCACTCCTAGAAGGCTACAATTAAATGTGGATATATTTGTATTTATTTATGCACACACACATATATACACAAACATATACATATATATATATATATATATATATACCTATACATATACATGCATCCACTTACGTGCACATACATATTCTTAGATTTCTAAAATCCTACATGTGTAGTGCCAGCCCTCCTCCACCATCTAATTCCTCTGCGTCAGTTCTTACTTTCTCACGTCATTTGTATGAGATAATTAGTCTTTCTACCTTTTCCTAAGTGGTTTTACTTTTTAGAATCCCATCATACTGAGATCTTTCCCAATCTTTCTTTTGAACTACCCAATTACTAATAACAACCTTAGATATACATTTTATATTTCTTCGTATAGAAAGTAAACAGTTTGCCCCTATTGAGTCTGTTGTAATTAGTCTTTGGTGTGTACCTTATATTTCTCTTGGCTCTTGTATATCAGATTTTCTATTCAGTTCAGGATTTTTTGCAACAAGACCCTGAAAGTCTGGCAATTCATTGACTGTCCATTTCTTTTCATTAGGTTGATGCTTAACTTTGTTGGGTATGATATGTTTGGTTGCAGCCCCAGTTCTTTTGCTCCTCGATATGGAGTGTTCCAAGACCTGTGGTCTTTTAGTGTCACCACTGCTAGGTCTTGTGTGATTTTAATTGTGGCTCAGTCATATTTGAGTTTTTTCTTTCCTTGTTGCTTGTAATAGTTTTTCCTTGAGCTTGGGGTTTCGAAATTTAAGTTTGATATTCCTGTAGGCTTTTCTCATAGGATCTCTTTCAGATAGTGATCAGTGGATTTTTTTTTCTATTTCTACTTTCCCCTCTTGTTCTAATGCTTCAGGACATTTTTCTTTAATTATTTCTCATATTATTGTATCAAGATTCTTTTCTTCATCATAGCTTTCAGTTAGTCTGATTACTCTTATGATTTCTCTTCAATCTCTTCTCCAGGTCATTTGTTTTTCTGATGAGATGTTTCATGTTCTCTTCTATTTTTTCATTCTTTATATTTTGTTTTATTATTTCTTGATCTCTTATAACTTCTCTGGCTTCCCCTTGCCCAATTCTAATTTTCAAGGAGTCAGTTTCTTCCTTAAAATTCTGGAACTCCTTTTCCAGTTGGTTGACTTTCTTTTCATAATCTTCTAGTTTTTCTTGGATTGTTCGTATGTAAAAAAAATCCTCAATCTCTCTAATTTGATTTTTAAAGTCTTTTTAAAGTTCTTCTATGAATTCTTTTTGGGCAGGTGACCATTTGATGTTACTCCTTGGGGTAGTAGAGGCTTTTAATGTCATCCTCTGAAGATGAATCCTGGTCTTTTCTGTTCCCACAATAACTTTCTATAATTGGGTTCTTTCTCCTTTGCCTGCTTTTTTTTTTTAATTTGTAGCAGCTTATTGTAATTACTTCTTGTCCTGGGGTATTTTTCTTCAGATCTTTTCTGGTTGTCCCAGGACAACTGTCATGCCCCAACTCTTGTTTATTTTTGCCACTGTACATTTTCCCTGAAGCGCTATTTTGTCTTGTTTGTGAGTAAAATCTGGAGAGCCTGGAATTTTCTGACCAATTCCACCACCTTCCCAGAATACTTTCTGTTTTATTATTTTTTTTAACAAGATCTGTGATATTCTTTCTAAGAGAAGCTTTGGATGAGAAACTAATTTTCCCAGTGCAGATCTGTATTTGCTTGGGGGGCACTGAGAAGTTAGATGACTTACACAGTAAATATGTGTAAGAGGTAGGACATGACTCTAAGTTCCTGATTGTGAGCCCAGTTCTCTATCCACTACACCATTCTGGCTGGCTGGTGTGTGTGTGTGTGTGTGTGTGTGTGTGTGTGTGTGTGTGTGTGTGTGTGTGTGTGATAGAAAGACAAAGACACAATTATTGTCTGAATAAGGTGAGAAAACATGGAAAAGAGAAGGGAATAAGCATTTATGTAGTGCCTACTGCATACCAGCTACCATGCTAAAGCACTTTAAATGCCCTATCTCATTAGGTCCTCACAGCAATCCTGTGAAGTAGGTACAGTTATTATCCCCATTTACAATTGAGGAAATTGGAGCATACAAAGGTTAAGTGACTTGTTTAGGATCACAGAGCTAGTAAGTGTTTGAGGCCAAATTTGAACTCAGGTCTTCATGGCTTCAGGTCCACTGCTCTATCTACAGTGCCAACTTCATTCAACAGCTTAGTATCTCAATTTTGTATATGTTTCCCTATATCTTTGATTTGTGATGCAATCCGAAAAATGTTGCATCTCTCTGGCTGCTTTATTCTGCCTAAACCTCTAGCTTCTTTCTCTCTGTGAATGTTTTTCTCTTAAATATTCCTGATTCTCTTACTCTGCTACCTCTATTCTGGCCACATTCCTCCATTCACAGTCTTTGGTTAACCAGATGAGGTAGTTAGCCACTTCCACAAGGTACAGTTTTCTATATTTCAGTCTCTTGTCCTTTGGCTGTTCTACCCTATCAACTTTGCTACTCTCCAGATGCTGAATATTTAGCCTGAGGAGCTCATGAGACTAGGAATATTACAAATACATGCTATCTAACGTCATCTGAGCTCTCAGTACTGCATGGTAATCCATTGATTCATCTCTGCAGAGGATCATGCTTCCTACAGCAGCTATTCCAGACCTTTTATTTTTATTTTTTTCTGGCAGATCCACTTACTTCTAAAAGGCTTTGAATGTGGCCCAGCTACTGTTTTTTCAAGGATCAGCCTAGATAATTGTGGTTAGGTTTATTCCTTGGACACCAGGTGATGAATTCCTTTATCCAGAGTACTTCAGGAAGGAAAACAAAAACAAAAAACCCTTTCTACTAAGAACCAGGAAGATTTGTGACTTGCATTGTGGGAGGAAGAAATGCATACACTGATAGGATCATGGACTTTTGAAGTAATCCTTGATTTCAGATGTGATAGGATACAAAGATTTTTAATAGAATCCACAGAATTTGTGTGATACAACATTTGTTCAATGTGCTTCGAGACATATTTTCCTTTATACAGGGTGTCCCCAAAGTCTTAATGCTATTAAAGCTTAAAGCACTTTTTGGGACATCCTATAGAATATCAAGATTCCAAAGGGTGATCCTCACTCTGTTCTTAAAGCTAAGATAGGATGAGGGTTATTAACCTTCTTTTTCCCTTTTCCTTAGCTATGACGTCATCTTTGCTGGAGGCCCTGAAGAACTACTGAAGAAGTTCCAAAAGAGTAACCATAAAGTGGTATTTTCAGCAGATGGAATATTATGGCCAGATAAAAGGCTGGCAGACAAGTATCCAATTGTCCACATTGGAAAACGCTTCCTAAACTCAGGAGGTAGGTGGGAGGAATTCAATTTCAATCATGAAGATTCATGAAAAATAACAAATTCAGGAATAGTAGACATGTAAGTTGATTCTGTATATGAGAACAGGGGGAATATGAGAAACTAGGTTGAAATCATTTTCTCAATTAGAAGAAAAAAGACAATTTGAAGCATGTTTGGTAATAGAAAGGACATGGACCATGAGCCAGAAGATCTGTGTTTGAACCTTTGTTCTGGCAATACTTAGCAGTGGGATGTTGGTGCCTTAGTTCTCTCTTATGTAAAAGCCATTTGAGTGGATGATCTCAAAGTCCCTAACAAACAGACTTCTTCTGAGTAACTAAATTGTATAAGTATTGTTTTGCAATTCTAAATCTAATTATGATTTATTTCACAAAAAGGTTAGTTTAGTTGAGGAAGTTTTATCCTTGTCCTCAAATTTTAGGATTTCCTTATTCCTTCAATTGATCCCTCCCTTCCTCCATTATTCCTTTCCTTATTCTCTTTCTATCATTCTTCCTTCTTTCTTTCTTTTTTTTTAATAAACATTTGCCTTTGGAAATTAACCAAGATTTTTCAAAAAAAATTTCCTTATTGTTTCTTTTAATTTCTCCTCACTGCTTTTCAGTGTTCCTTTTGTACTAGATATTTTTATTTTCATGATGTTGCTACCCTGTTGCTTGGCATGACTTTGAATTCCTGATAGTCATTTTAGGAGGAAGTTTTGGTCATGGCTGGGAAGCTGGTTTGTATGTGAGAAACAGGGTAAGGGTAAACTATCCCTTTTTTGGATGGAGATGTTTTAACATTTGCATAAAATAACTTGTTCCAATAGTGTAATTTGAGGAAATTTGATACATTTAAATAGAAGTGAGGGAATGGTGTAGATATAAATTGAAGAATATGGTAACAGTTCAGTAGATGGTCTTTTATATAGAAGGATTGCATGGTGACATTTCTGTGGCTTTAATGATACTTTGCTTGGAAGCTTAGGGATATGGACAATTGGTTGGCAGGAATTGTAGGGAGCTCTCCCTTTGTTATAGAAATGGGCACAAATGTTCCAAGTAAATGTCAAATGGACTGCCTCAAGAGCTGTGTGGGTTTCACCCACCTTGAAAGGCTTCAAACATGTTGGGTATGTGATAGTGGCCCAGATGGATACTAGATCCCTTTTAGCTCTTAAATTGTCACTCAACATGACTGTAACTGCAGGTCAGTGGAAAAGGAATAGATTTCTTTAAAAAAAAATTTTTTTTAGGCAATCAGGGTTAAGTGACTTGCCCAGGGTCACACAACTAGTAAGTGTCAAGTGTTTGGTCTGAGGTCTCATTTGAACTCAGGTCCTCCTGACTTCAGGGCCAGTGCTCTATCCACTGTACCACCTAGCTGCCCCAAAGGAATGCATTTCTGAAAATAGCAAAATAAGGAAAGAAATTTTATCAGGAAAAGGATGCAGGAGACATTTTCTGAAGGCATCAACTTGGTAATATGCTCCATGGCCAAAAAGCCAAAGGAATGTTGGCCTCACCCATAAATACTGGAAACAATTTGGAAAAAAAAGACTTTCTGTCCTGTTATTTCAATGACTGGTCAGAAGAACAGAAAGTAGCTGTTGTTCTGTGAGCTATGTGAAGTTTATAAGATTATGCTTCCTACTAAGAGACACACTTGCTTCTTTTTTCTTCCTTTTCCTTTTAAATGTGTTTTCTCAAAGGAAAGGACAGTGTCTTAGAATTCTTCCTTCTGCTTTCTTGCATTTTGATGAATACATCTTCCTATTGAGGAAAAATAAGGGAAGCCTCATTATCTTACTTCACAGAAACAAACCTAGTCTCCATTTATAACTGCCTGGGGCTTTGTTTCATAGCCTCAGAAGAGTATTTGAACCAGGGGGAGAGATGATTCTAACATTGGTTTCTTTTGTAGACAAATGTTACTGGTAGGTACTGTGTTTTTGCCATTAAGGACAAGGAGAGCAGGCCAATTTCAGACTTCCCTTCTTGAGTCTGGGTGCAGTAAATGGAGCCAAAGCAGGAGTTAGCAGCCACAGGAACAGGGAGATGAAGTATAGGAAAAAAACCGCCAGTGTCTCAGACATAGACCTCCAGCAGGATGTTCAAAGCGAGTCACCTATCCAACATTCCTTTTACTGATGTGAACATCTTTGGCATCAGTCTGCTAGTGTTTCTTCCTTTCTGAAACATTGAATCCTTTGCAGAAAGGGAAACAAGGAGAGACTTTTTTATAAAACAAAATAAAAACTTTTTAGAAAAAAAAACAAGCTCAATTGGTCTTAGCCAGGTTCTATCAGGTTTCGGTCACTGGTATTAATTTTGGAAATATACTTGTCCAATAGCATGGTATATTGGAAAGTTACTGGCTCTTGAAGCAGGAGATTTGAATTTAAATCCTGCCCCTGACACTAGCTGTGTGATGTGAACAAATCACTTAATTTCAATTTTTGGATTGTGTAAAATGACGGGAGGAGGGGAGAGAGATGTATGCTAGATGGCTCAGAGGTCACTTCCAGACCAAATCTATGATTCTAAGACAAGTAAAGAGAGAGGTAGCCTAGTGGATAGAGAGATGACTTTAGACTCAGAATAACATAGGTTCAGGTCTTGACTCATGACACATACTGACTGTGTGATCCTGAAAAAATTATCTAACTTCTCAGGGTCTAAGATTATTTAAATAGAGTTTCCTTTGAAGGAATTCCCTAAACAAATAAAGGTACAGATCCAGAATTGCACATTCCCTTTCCTCTCCCTTCCTCCCACCAAAAAAAAAAGGTAAAATTTCCCTCCCAGAATCTGATGTACAAAAGAATAGAAATTATTTAAAATAGACTTTTAGGCTTATCCTGTTTGCCTGGTACTGTGGATCATTATTGGGCCATGAGTCTTAATACCATGTTTTGGAACCATTTGGTAAACTGTATGTAATGGACAGGTCTGACTTAGTGCAGCGCTCTGTTCAGGTTTGATGTTGGCATAGGTAAATCCTTTAACAGTTAACTAAGGGAGCTTTAGTTAGTTATAGCATAGAAACATAGAAAAAGATACTCAATAAGAACAACGTAGCACATAGTTTGGAAATCTAGGCTACCTCACCTCCCTTTGAAAGTGAGACTAATAAGGGGCAGCTAGGTGGCACAGTGGATAGAGCATCAGCCTTGGATTCAGGAGGACCTGAGTTCAAATCTGGCTTTGGACATATAACACTTACTAGCTGTGTGACCCTGGGCAAGTCACTTAACCCCATTGCCCTAGCCAAAAAGAAAAAAAAAAGTAAGACTAATGGGCAGGGTATGGTGACACATGGGCTTTTGGGACATTTGCCAAGTTTGAAGAGCCCTGACTTTTTGTAATTCACCTTTCTATACTCTTAGGTGACCAGGGAGTCCAAACAAAATGACCAGAGGCAGCTGGGGGACTCAGCCAATCAGATGTCAGGGACAGCTTTGTGGCTTTTTTGGGAAAAGCTACCCTGCCTCCTATTGTAGGAAAAGGGTGAACCCTGGTAAATACTTGTGTTATCATACAACAAAAGTCTTTTATTTAGCACTTACTATGTTCAAAGCACTTTTTGTTCTAATGGAGAATGGTGGCCAGGATGGTATATTATTTTGAAAAGTCGCAGGGATGGTTACTGGATACATAACAGATGAGACTGAGGTACCGTTTCTTGTAGCAGTGGTAGCATTGATTTCATTATATTTTCGTATTTGAAAGTATGAATTCAATGGGGGGGGGGCAGTGAGAAACTGTCTGGAGTATGAAGTGAAAGCATGGCTGGGCCTGCCAAATATAATGCTGACCTTAGGTGGCACTGGCCAATCAAGACAGCTTGGGCCCCAGGGCAGGGATTTTAGAGACAAAAGCTTAGACTTGTTCCAGGATCTTCTTGTCTTTCCCATTTCAGGATTTGTTGGATATGCACCCTATATAAACCGCATTGTTCAGCAATGGAACCTTCAAGATAATGATGATGATCAGTTGTTTTATACTAAAATTTATATTGACCCACTGAAAAGGGTAAGTAATGACCTATGCTTTGCTGTCAGTTACAGATACTGTAGTCTGTCCCCCCCACCCCCGCCCAGGACATTTTCTTCAATAATTGAAAAGGCCTCACCCTTTTTATTTTAATAGTTTTGAAGTCTATTGATACCATGGTGACTAACCTTACTTATGAAATAATTCAAAAGTATTCTGTCACTGAAAATGTATTTAATAAGAAATGAGTTATGGATTAGCAAGAAGGCAAGTAATTAATAAGTGATGGACCTGTTTTCATGAAAGATAGCATGATCTAGTGGCAAGAGGTCTAGGTCCCAGACCCACCATTTACTAGCTGTGTGATCATGTTGGTGTCATTCAATACCTTTGGATGTTATAGAAGCCCAAAGTTGGCAGGGATGTCAGAGGGATGTCAAATTTAGTCCATATTCAAGGAGAAATTCTCTTCACAACATCTTTCACAAATGGTTCTCCATTGTGTCACCTTCAAAGCCAGCCAAATGGTGCTCTTCCACTTCTGGATAGTCTGAACTGTTAGGACAGTTTGTCCTCATGTAAAGCCAAGATATGTGTCCCTGTAATTTCCACTCTTAGCTCTAGTTCTACTCTCTGGGCCAAGCCAAACAAGTCTAATTGTTCTTTTACATGATAGTCCTTAACATAGTTCAAGATTGTCATCATGTCCCTAGAAGACTTCTAGGCCCACATTAAACACCTTCATTTCCATCAGTGTGTACACTAGAGTTTCCAGGCCCTTCACCATCCTCAACACCCTTCTCTATATGTGATTTACTTTGTCGATGCTTTTCTGAAGTCATGGTACCCAGAAGTGAATATTATATTTCTTCGAACTAGGGAAGGCTCCAGTGGCAGCAGAAAGATCTCATTCCAGATACTGCTCCTTGATTATTGTAGCCCATATTTTTTGTTTGTTTTGTGACAGTTCAAGTGTGTAGCCCACTAAAACCCAATGGCTTTTTCATATGAACTTGTGACTAGCTTTATCTCTTCTATCCTATATTTGTACAGTTGATTTAAAGATTTTTTCACCTTTTTTTTTTTGCCCGCAATTCCTCACCTCTTAAAGAAGGAAGAAAGCAGGGAAAATAATACTTGCATTATCTACCTCACTATAATTTGTAATTGATATGCATCACTATTAAATTTTGAATCAAAATATGGACATTTAGCTAAAACGTAGATACGTATGTATTTATATGCTGCAAGAGACAGGACAGTAGAGTGAATAGAAGGCTAGAAAGGAAGCCCTACCTGGTTAAATCCTTTTCTGCTAGCGTTTATATAGCCTTTTGAGATTTTGCCAAGTGTTTAACATGTTTTATTTCAGTGGATGTGCCCAGTCTCTCCCTATGACTATGTCTCTCTCAGACTAAGTCTGTGGTCACAGAGAAGTCACTTAACCTCACAATGTCCTGGGCAGCATGAAGACTATAGGTGAGAGAAGAGATGGATTTGTTGCTCTGTATTGGGAGATGGATTTTCCATGGCAGAAGTTCCCTCCACTACTGAAATCAAAGCTCCAGGCTGCCTCTTCCTCACAAAAGTGTTATAGAAACAGAGTTTTGCTGAAAAACTAGTAGAATGGGTGGAATCATGAGAACTCTACTACTTATTAACTTCAGTGAGTCGTTTTGAATTAATAACTAGCTTCTTTATTCAAATTTTGCCAAGTATTATATTGACCTTCTTAAGCTCAGTCATCTCATTCGTTCCTTAAAAGAAATGTGATAGCATCAACAATGTTATTATCTCTTAAAATATGTTTATTGTTTCCATTTTTAGGAAGCTCTTAATATTACATTGGATCACAAGTGCCGGATTTTTCAGACCCTCAATGGAGCTATTGGTACGCTGATGAATTAGCTACTGAATGAGTATAAACACACTACTACTTTCTTCATTATTTTCAGGAAAGTGACTAGTTTAGAGTTAATTAAGAACAGAGATTTTTTTTTTTTTGGCTAGGCAATGGGGTTAAATGACTTGCCCAGGATCACACAGCTAGTAAGTGTCATGTGTCTGAGTTTGGATTTGAACTCAGGTACTCCTGAGTCCAGTGCCGGTGCTCTATCCACTGCGCCACCTAGCTGCCCCAAAGCAAATGTGATTCTAAATGAGATTCTAAACCTGAAATTTGTAAATTTGATTGTGAAAATATTTTGATAACTATATTTCAGTATAAGTTGCTTTTTTTGTAATCCTATGTATTTTATTTTATGCATCATTTAAAAACGTTACTCTAAAATGAGGTGCATAGGCTTCATCAGACTGTCAGAGGCAAAAGGCAACAAAAATGTTAAGTCTTTCATGTTAAAATGCTTATCAGACTAAGTTAGAAGTTATGTTAACTCCTTTCAATTGTTTAATAAATGAGGTTTTTTTTTTTTACCATATCCCACCGTTTAGGAGTTGTTAACCTGGGATCCTTGAACTTTGTTTTTGAAAATTTTTTGAAAACTGTATCAGTATATTGGTTTCCTTTGGAATCGTGTGTGTTTTATCTTGTGCATTTAGAAACATTCTGAAAATGGATTCACCAGATGGCCAAAGGAAACCAAAAAGCTTGAGAATTCCTGCCCGAGTGACTTGCAGAATTAATCACAAGGGAATAATACATAAATGGACAGAACCAGACCTAACCTAGTCTGTAGTTATTAATACGTGTGGTTTCCCTTACATTCAAACCTTTCTTCCCTCCCTCAGATGAAGTTCTTTTGAAATTTGAAAATGGAAAAGCTAGAGCAAAAAATACTTTTTATGAAACATTACCAGTGGTAATTAATGGAAATGGCCCAACTAAAGTGAGTATCTGTCACTTTTGTGTATGTATAATATGACTGGTTGGTATGTTGGAGATTGATACAATGCCTGTGAACAAAGCCTGTTTTTGTGGGTGCTCCGGAGCTGACTGGCTGGAGTTTTACTTGTACAGAATCATTTGACCCCCATTTGTGTTTGCCACAGTGATGCCTGTTTAATTCACATCCACGTGTGGCTTCTACTTCCTAATGTCAAACTTTGATTTCATATTTTCTCAAATAACAGGTAAATTATTACTGTTCAAGCTGTAAGTACTCCCATTTTAAGAAGTGTCCAAAAAAGTTTTGAAAAATGTCAATGGGCCCATCCATAGCCTTTACTCAGAATTATATTTTGATAATGATTGATTCACAATACTAATGGTATGGTAAGAGGCAGTATGGTACAGTGAATATTAGGGCTAACTTTGTATCTAGAAAGCCCTGGGTTCAAGTTCTACCTTTGAGGTATAGCTGGTTGGTTGATTTTCTTTGTTCTCAAAGAGGACCAAAATGACATCATTATGTCAGAGTCAAGTTACAGTGCATCTGCCTGTGGTTGATCAGACCAGTAGGAGCTCCGAATGCTCTACCACAGGTCAGGCACAAATAGTCCTTGTGAACATTTCGGTGGATTCTCTAAATTTGTGCATCTCGCGTTTCTTTCGGGCTGCTTCAATTCTGCTTTGCTCATAGAGCACAGCGTCTTTTTTGGATGAAGGCACACCATGTTGGGCAGTCCTGTGTCAGTGTCTCCCATATCACCCAATCAATTCCTGAGTTCTTAAGAGAAACCTTGAGAGGGTCCTTGTATCACTTCTGCCCACCATGTCAGCTTTTGCCCTGTGTGAGTTCTCCATAAAACAGTCTTTTAGGCAAGCTGTGTTTGGCATTTGGACAACTTGGCCTGCCCATTTTAGTTGTGCTCTGTGCAGTAGAGTCTGAATGCTTGGCACCAATGGAGTGAAATAAGGCTGCATGCTTGGTCCCATGCTTTTTTAGCATGACGTTTTTAGCCATGTTGTCAAATGCCTTTAATGAGAATGAACACGGCATCAAGGTCAGTTACCACACTGATGGTAAATTCTTCAACCTTTGATGTACAGTTGCCATGGGTGCACAAGTAAATTAGTTCACCTTTCAATGCCTCTGGCAGTCTCTAAAATGACAAATGAGATGCTGGTCTGCATTGGTGGAGAGTGTTTCCACGCTGGGAGTTCACTCTGATTCAAATATAGATCTAGAGGAATATACACCACTCTGTCCTGCTATCCCTATCCCCAACGAAAATTACATTTCTAAAGCATGGTATATAAAAAGTTTACAAATATCAAAGTTAACCCCAAGACCTGTTCTTATATGGCCTCCTACTCTACCACATTCCATAGGGAACCAGACTCCCCATAATCTTAGAGATGTCAATGGCACAGGTATGAGTCCCACAGGCAGCTGTGGAATCAGCTCATGGTACTGCTGGTGACTGAAACTTGCCTTGCTGCCTTGAGGCACATAGATGTCATTCTGTTCTGTTTCTTCTGCTCTCGAAACCCTCATGTAAACCATTCCCGATTTCCCTGGCTCCTGTTGTTAAAACTCTTAACACCTGACTCTAGCTCACTATTCTATGTTTAGTATGTATGACTCCCCTCCTCACATGGGTTGTATGGCTCAGCTAAAATGGCTGCTTGCTCTCCTTCAGATGTAACTGTCTTTCTATCTCCTGGCTCATTGTCTTTGCACAAACTATCTTCTATGCCAGAATACCCTCCTTCCTCCCCTCTACTTCTGGGAATCTTGAGTTTCCTTCAAAGCTCAAATATCACCTGCCTGAGGCCTTTCCTAATGCCCCAGGTATTAATGTCTTTCCCCCAAAAGAAATTATATTTATTGTATATGTACATAAATGCACACATACACACATGTATATGTACACACGTGTGTGTACACATGAATACGTACATGCATATACACATATAGACATGCTTATATTACCTATACATGCATGCATGCACATATATAACATAATATATATATATATATATATATATATATATATATACATATACATATACACATATACATATGTAATTCACTTGTCTCACCAGATATAACAGAAGTTCCCCCATTGGCAGGGACTATTGTTTTTTTGTTCTGTTTGTTTGTTTTGACTTTGTACATTTAGCACCTAGCATAGTACCTGGCACATATTACATAATTAATAAATGTTTATTGATTGTTACCATTTAACATCATTATATGGTTATAATTGTTCATCGTGAGAGTTCCCACCTTCCTCTAGGCACGAATTAGCTCTACCCAGGGACTGTTACAGAGGGGCTCAGATTCACATCCAGGTGCTGCTGTCTGTATTATTTCACCGTTGGTATCATTCTCTTATGAGCTGGGTACGAGGAAGTTTCCATGTTATCCACAGCTGTTCAGCTGTGCCTGCATATGTAATGCTTCTCAAGCCTAGGACACTTTAATATTAATCTTACTATTATTAATAATAATAATAATAAACAACTCACATTTATATATCACTTCAAAAATTTCAGAGGCCGTTTCAGCAATGAGACTGACCAAAATCTTGATTTGTTACAAGTGTTAACGTAGATCTGTTGGATTCCTAAAATTGTGTATCCTGTCAGTTGTGTGTTTTGAGTTCTTAATACTTGAGGTTTCAAAGTAATTTTTTTTTAACTCAGATGCGATAAGATATATAGAGCTTTACAAACTTTAAAGCTCTATATAAATGTTTATTATTAGTAGTATTAGTGTATGACTCAGTTGATTAGTTGAAACTAAACTTATCAGCAGATATCCTTATGCCATAATTTCACAGGTTGCCAGGGCCAAAATATTTCACCACCTATTGGCAATGAGCTCCTCTGAACTTAGCTGGGCTGGTCTCAGCAGATTCCATCTGTTGCCAGAACCACGGTTGGTGACTTTCCAGTCTGATGGAACCTGCCAGAGCCTGTACTTCATAGGCATAGCTCTTTTTTTTTTTTTTGAGCCAGGCAATGGGGTTAAGTGACTTGCCCAGGGTCACACAGCTAGTAAGTGTTATGTGTCTGAGGCCAGATTTGAACTCAGGTCCTCCTGACTTCAGGGCCTGTGCCCTATCCACTGTGCCACCTAGCTGTCCCCACTGGCATAACTCTTGACAAGATCAGGCAAAGGCCACCTCCACGCTTGCCATGACGTGGTGCTGGAATCGGACTTAGGTGAAGCTACCATAAGCATTTAATTGGAGTTGGTTGCAAGAATATAGAGCAAGAGGTGAAAAGGTCCTTGCAAATCTTCTAGTCCAACCCAGCCTTCTCATGTAACGGTTGAGGAAGAAGGGATAAGTAACTTGTCCAAGGTGTCAGAGGTCCTCTATACCATGATGCCTTTCAGTAGCAGATTGATTAAAAAGATAACATTCACTTATCTTTGTAGGTCTTCGGCATCCCCAAAGTCTTAGTGTGTTTTTTTAAATACTTAAAAATTCACTGGCTTTTTGGATGCTTTATCTTTTGTCTCCACCATTAAAGTCTAAGTACTTTGAGGGTCAAACTCATTTTGCTTTATCTTTCTATATCCAGCATGTAGCACAGTGCTTGGCACAGAAATCGAAAAAGTCGTGTTGACTGATTACTTGATTCACCATGTGTTGCTGCTTGCTGATGCATTATGGTATATAATAATGTTCATCCCTACTAAGAGTTTAAAATCATTGAGTTTCAAGCTGGGAGGATGTAGAGATGTCTAGTATTGAGCTTGAGAACAATTACACAAATAATATTAAGCACCTACAATAGTAAGGCACTTTAGGAGGTGTTGAGAATACAAAGACAAAAATGAAGTATTCAGACCCTCAAAGAGCGTACTTTCTGTTGAAGAGATGAAACACATGCAGAGATAAGTAAATACAGATTTATCCAAATTGATTTCAGTCAGTCATTCAGATAGTAAACATTTAATAAGCACCTACTATCCAAAGAGAGGTAAAAGATAGTCCTTGCTTTAAGGAGCTCAAAATCGAATGGGGGAGGCAACGTGCAAATAGCTCTGTCTAAGCAAGCTGTACACAGAATTAATTGGAAATAATCAACAGAAGGAAGGGACTAGAATTAAGAGGGATCGAGATAGGATTCATATACAAGGTAATATTTTAGCTGGTATTTGAAGGAAGCCAGGGAAGCTAGGAGATAGAGATGACATGGGACAGCGTTCCAGGCGTAGGAAGCAATCAGTGAAAATGCCCAGAATCTAGAGTTGGAGTGTCTTGTTTGAGTAACATCAAAGAGTCCAATATGGTTAGGTCAGAGTATGTGTGTGTATGGGGGAAGGGATAAGATATAAGAAGACTGGAAGAGGAGAGGGCAAGTTGTGAAGGGTTTTGAATGCTAAATAGAGGATTTTATATTTGATCCCAGAGGTGATAGAGAGCCATTGGAGTTTATTGAGTAAGGAGGTGACATTTCAGATGTGCACATTAGAAATATCCCTTTGATACCTGAGTGGAGGAGGACTGCAATGGGGAGAGAATTGTGCCAGGGAGACCCAACTAGTGGATAACTGAAATTTTAAAAAGCGGTGGGGGGGGGAGGGTTACTAATAATTGGGAGATCAGGAAAGGCTTTATGTAGGATATGACCCTTGAATTTTCCTTTGAAGGACTTGAGGATTCTAAGAGGTAGAGGTGAGAAGGACATGCATACCTGATGTAGGGGGGTAACCTGTGCAAAGAATTAGAATGCCTGGAAATAATAGTATGTATGTTGATGAGGTATAGTAAGTGAATTGTATCAACAGATTCAAAACCTAAATGATCCATGAATTCATTGAAGTGAATTTCCCAAGTTAATATGACAAGAAAGCTCAGAATTAGCAGGTGGTTTGAAAGTCTTAAGGCAGCTTTCCAAAGTGCCTGCTGTATTTGGAGGTGGCCAGGTTGTGGCTGATAGCTGAGAGTCATCTGGCTCTTCAAGGTTTTCCTTTCCTCATGCCCA